AATTTTATAAAACTACTTTTATCACTTCTTTATTACCATGTAACAGACTAACATAATGATAATAAAAATAAATAAAGTCTTACAAATAATCAGCTTATCACCTTATCACGATGTTGTCCAGGAAACACAGACATAACTGATGTTATAATTGTACCAAACTAAAAAAAAAAAAGTGAACAAGAAACTTTAGAAAGACACTGGTATAATTTTTCTGGGAAAGGTGAATAAAACCTTAAAGTGAACAACATAATTATTGAAGGGACTAATTACAGTTTTAATCTCTCATGGTCTCATCTTGATCACTGGGTATATTTTTAAACTGTAGCAGAATTATTACCTTGGAATAGCTTTTTTTAATGTCAAAAATGCCTACGTGCTATCATAATATACACTATGTTTCTACTAAGAGCTAGCTATTAGCATTTCTTTCAAATTTTTTAAATTTCCCATGGACTAATTGCATTATTAAAGCTGGGGGAGAGCATCTAAAGATAATCTCACATAAATTAAAAACACTAGCAAAAAAAGCTAGTCAATATACAAAGCAATGAGAGGCTTCAGTGTCCACAAACCTGATTTTAGGTGCCTTCTGCTGGAATAAGCCCAGTTAATCACATAAAGTTTGATAGTAGGAAGAAATTACCAGCAGGTTCATCTAAGGACTGTTTCAAAATCCAAACTTATGTTTTGTTAAATTTAGAAATATATGTTTCCAGTAAATGTTTAGCACTCATGTCATAGAATATATTTCAAATTCTGTCTAGAATTCTTTTGCACATTCCCAAGGGAACCCGAAGGAAAAGTTCATTTTCTTAAAAAGTAAATCTTTATAATCAACAGCATAACAGATCTAGCACCTTCCATATATACCTACATATTTTAGCTACCTCCATATACCTCTGCAATTTCACCTATCCTCCTTTCAAGACTCCTTATTAGAACTCACATGCAGAAATTACACTCTTAGTTTCAAGAGATGCATGTCTTTCATTTTTTCACCTTCAGAAGAAATATATGGAACCCCCTTCTAGTGAAGCCCCTTTCATCTAAATAAGGGCAGCCATCTTCACCTCCCAAGGCCCTAATCCCTTACCTTTACTACTTCCTTCACAACACACTTGTAGACAAGCTGGTGAATGGCTGACAACATCTCCAAAGTTTTTACTTCCTTTACCCCAGATCACGTATTTTTAAAAAAAAGACAAGAGTCTTGCTCTGTTGACTAGGCTAGAGTGAAGTGGCACAATCACAGCTCACTACAGCCTTGAACTCCTGGGCTCAAGTGATCCTTCTGCCTCAGCCTCCAGACTAGCTGGGACTATAGGTGCACACCACCATGCCTGGATTAATTTTTCAAAACATTTTTTGTAGAGATGCTATGTTACCCAGGCTGGTCTCGAACTCGTGGGCTCAAGGGATCCTCCTGCCTCAGTCTCCCAAAGAGCTGGGATTACACATGTGAGCCACTGTACATGGCCAGATTATGCATTTCCCCACCCCATCCCGAGACAGAGTTTCACTCTGTTGCCCGGGCTAGAGTGCCGTGGCATCAGCTCAGCTCACAGCAACCTCAAATTCCTAGGCTCAAGTGATCCTTCTGCCTCAGCCTCCCGAGTAGCTGGGACTACAGGCATGCGCCACCATGGCCGGCTAATTTTTTCTATATATTTTTAGTTGTCCAGCTCATTTCTTTCTATTTTTAGTAGAGATGGGGTCTCGCTCTTGCTCAGGCTGGTCTCGAACTCCTGAGCTCAAACGATCAACCCGCCTCAGCC